TTATGATTTTTTGCATGTATAGCTTCTGATTTTAAATATTTGTTATTTGTCTTGTTGTTTGAGGATCATGAAAGGGAAGAAAAGAAGTTATACTACCTTCGATCTTGGAGACAGAGGAGGATGAACCGGAGGTGCTCTAGGCGGCTTTGACGGAGAGGAGAACGTGAATGAATCTTTGCTTCCTGGTACCTTTGTATTTTTGCCTTTAGGTTTGATGATGAATTTGAAAACCTCTTTGATTTCACTTCTTCTTCTTGCTTGTCTTGCTTCTGTCGCCTAGCTTGATAGGCTTAGGGATTTTGAGATGATGATGTGATTTTGCTGGTTACCCAATGATGAGCTCTTTGAGCTCTGAGGGTCTTTGTTGCCTTGAACGTTTGTCTGTTGACTGATCCCTTTCTCTTCTTCTTGTTGGTTGCCTTCTGTATGCTATGCTTTATTATCCTTTGCCCAATGACGAAACTTTCTGAGGGCTTGTGATGTTTGACACTGAGTTGCCTTGACGCCTCTGTATGTTGGATGGAGCTGCTTGTGGACTAACCCAATGATGAACTTTCTGAGTTCTGAGGGTCTTTTGAGTTGTTTGCGTGAATGTTGTTCTGTTTTTTTGAAACTTGGCAAGTTAAAGGTTTATGGCCTTGAGGCTTTTTGGTAAGGCTTGGTTGTTAGCTTTGGCCTGCTGAGTTTATGTTCGAAACAAACAGGTTCAGGCTTGGCTCCTTGTTTGGATCAACTGGTTTGCGTTTTATGCTGGTTTTAGCAGTTTGATAGTTCAGCTTTTTAGGTTTTTGGCTTTTGGTTTTTGGCTTGTTGGTTTTTGACTTTTGTTGGACAACAGGTTTGGGCAGGTTATGGCCTTGGCTTTTAGACAGTGTAAGTTTGAGGTTTTAATGTTTTGGCTTCAGTTAATGCAGGTTGATACCAGTTTAGGCTTGTGGTGTTTCAGGCTTATGCTGGTTGTTTGAGTTTGATTGCAGGTTTTTTTAGCTTGTTGGTTTAGCGTTTTGATGATAGGCAGGTTTTTGTGGTTATCCCCTCTGTTCTGCTTCTCATCTCTCCTTTGATACTTTCTGCTCCCTTTTGATAGCTGTTAGCTGTTTATTATATCTTATCTTTATGCCTAAAGCCAAACCTGTAAGCCTAAACTCTTTTCTCTCTTCTCTCTCCAGTACCATTAAAATAATAAACAATGTTTTATGTGTACTTTTCTGAAAGGGTGACTGATGGAAAATGATGCTTTGAAGAGCTTTGCTTGCTTGCATACTAATCTTTCTCTGCATATCCTTTCATATCTTCTTTTGACAGCTTTGCTTCCTTGTGACAGTATCTTGTACTTTTGTATCTTTGATATCTTTGGCAGCTTTTTGGATAATTTGTGACTTTAGTTAGGCCATTCTGTTTGCCTTTGGACTATGTAGTTTGATTTGGACTTGGACCTTGCATCATGCTGTTTGAGACTTGAACTATGCAGTTTGACAATTTTGACTTGTGAATTTCAACTTTGTGCATTCATGATTAGCAAACAAATATTCATCCCTCTTTGTGAACCGGGAGAAATCCCGTGATTTGCAGAGAGGACTAACTGATTCCAGTCAGTTGCCCTTAATGATGAACTTTTTATCTGTCTGTCTTTTATTTATTTATCTGCTTCTAACTTTTCTTCTTTTCTTTTGCAGATAAAAATTGAATGGAGAGGATTTAGCAACAGATGAAGAATTGAAGATTTTAGAAAAAATTAGGATAGTCTTACTTAGATTCAAATTACTGTAAAATTATTATTGTAAACAATTTGTAAACAAAACAATTGTACCAATAATAAATAAAAGTTTTTTTTTATCCAATTAATTCTTTTCCTCTTTTTAATTGTTCGTTTTATTATTTATAATTCTTTAATTATAATAATTGAAAATAAATTCCAATCATTTAATCTTAGAATAATAAATAATTAAATAAACATTGCTTCAGTATTGATCAATTAAACCTGGCGTTTCCAACATCCAAAGCAAAACAACAGTTAATCACAACAATTGCCCAGACGTTTTTTTTTCTTTTATGACTTTAATCAAACATTGCAAATTCAACCCCAATGCATCCTTTCACTGATTTAATCACACAATGCGAATTCCATTCAAGTGCAATTTTTTACTGATTAAGTCAAACAATGTGAATTTAATCCAAATCTCGGAATAACTTGCAAAGCACTGTAGAATTAAATCTTTCTGAGGAACCGCGCATAAAAAACCCTAATTCCTGATTAAGCGTCAAAGAAACATCCACCTGATCAAAGTTGAGCCAAAATCAACCAAAACCCTAAGCAACTGTATGAACTGTTCTAGAGCCATGAAAATCAATGAAAACCCTAATTTTGTCTGACTGACGAGAAAAGTCTGTTTGACCGAGTCTTGAGCCAGTTTGAAAAATCAGGAAACGCCTGAAGCTGTGACTTCTTGTGGAAAAATACGAGGGCAAATTTTGGAGTGCAACAGACATGTACTTTCATAGTTGACCCTGGGTTAGATCTTAACAACTCATGTGCATAGTCATAAATCCTTGTATAATCCCCTAAGAATGACCCATCAACCATGTCTCTTGCTGCAAACCTAGCCCTTATAGCCTTGGTTTTGTTGACCCCCACATTCCACTTCTTCTGCACCTTTTCCTTAATGTCCTTAAGCTTCATTCTAGGGTTGGTTTTAAGTGCATTCTGCAACCTCTTGCTAAGCCATTTAGTCTTCAACAACTTCACATGATATTCTCTACTGCAACTATGGGTGTCTACCACCTTTCTTAGTTGCTAAGTATCCTCAACATCCAACTTAGCCCAATAACCTTCCCATTCACATCCATCCTTACACCTAACCCTAACCCTTATCTTGTCATTTTTGATGTACTTTAAATTTCTGCCAGATTAGACTGCATAAGAGGTAACTTCTTCCTTGATATCTTCTTTTGTACTAAAATATGTACCCACTTCCCATATGTAATTGGACATATCCTTTAGAAGCTTGAAAATGGGATACTTCTTTCTCTTGGTAGTATTGCTATCTTCACTATCACATTCACTTACAAGATCCTCACTTTCATTATCACTTCCTTTACTATCTTCTTTATTTGCTTCAGTTTCACAGAGATCAGTTACATCATCCTTACCTTCTTCCTCTTCCAAGTCAGTATCACACTCATTAGTTTCATCATCAAATACAACCTCCTTTGCACTATCATACGAAAAGCTACTATCATCAGAGCTATCATCATCAGAACTATCATCATCATTCTGTCCAACAACATTTTCACTTGCCTCCTTCTGTCCAACATCATCTTCACTTGCCTCATTCTGTATAACAACATCTTCACGTGCCTCCTTCTGTCCAACAACATCTTCAATTGCCTCCTTCTGTATAACAACATCTTCACTTGCCTCCTTCTGTCCAACAACATCCTCACTTACCTCATTTTGTCTAACTGCATCCTCTTCCATTACATTCAGGGGTATCTCATCTAAAATAACTTCACTCTCATCAACATACTCAGGCTGTGACAATGGGTGTTGAATAAAGACTTCAACACTTAAATGAACCCTATATAGATCAGCAATCTCTAAGGCCCCTTTGTCATCAAACAACAGATTCATTCCAGCAGTTGGATCCTTATAGTATATCTTCTCTATGGCTGGGTAACCTAGTTCCTTAATAGCACCCAATAACTCAAAATAACCCCACATATCAGCATCTACTCTCAAATCAGCAATCTCACCTCCTTCGTACACACTCAAGTCCTCACTAACAAATTGACCACTGTGGTGTATCGTAATATTAAGAATTTCCTCCATTACACATAATGCCCTAAATAGAGAGATGAATTTCAGAGAAGGGAGACGAATTTCATGGAAACCCTAACTATGAAAATAGAATTCTTGCAGAAACTTACCTCTGATGAGAAGTCTGGTTTCACCTTCAAGGAAACATGCAATGGATGAGTGGTAATGCCACATAAGAGTGTCAAACTGACTTGTAAGTGGAATTGCCACATGCAATTTTTCTAAACACATGTGTAATGCCACATAAGCGCTGCCATTAAACATGACTAACGGAGTGGATGAAAAGGACAAACGTGGTCCTTTTGAAAGAATTATAGGACCAGTTTGACACTTTTTTTAGATAAAGGACCAAAATGGACCTTGGGGTAAACTTAAAGGACTAAAAAGGATATTTTGCCAAAATTATTTTATTCGATTTTAAAAAAGAATGATCAATTTTATAAATTAATCTAAATACGGGGACAAAAATATTATTAAACTATTTTTTTATAACAAATTTAACACTTTAGAATTAGGTGTCATTTTTTAATTGGAGTGACCATATTATGAGTTTGTGATTTAAGGATTTGTTTGGACCACAAGAGAAAGTGAAATGAAAAAAAATGAAAGGAAAGAAAGTAAAAGCAACTCTCAGAATTTTGGTGATTTTCTATTAAATTATTTATTACTTAAATTAAATTAAAATTTAAGTTAACTTTTTTATATGTTATTTACATAAAATTGACACGAAATTTTGAGTATTTTTTATTAAAGACAAGTCTAATAATTTTACGATAGAAAATAGATGCTATATATTTATTAAAAAAAATTGAAATACATAATTTAAATTATTTCTTTACTTGTAATACAAATTCAAATTAATAATACACATCTTAATATAAACTCAATGCATAAATATGTAGTCTAAATATCTTAGGTTACCTTTTATAAAGTTCAATATAATTTTTTGTTGTTGTAATTTTATACTATTTTTTTGTTTTATATGAAAAAGCGTAGATGTATATATTTTGTTTTATCATTGTTCTATATGTTTAATAAATAATGAGTATAAATTAATAAATAATATTTTTTACTATATAACATAAATAAAAAGAAAATAAACTAATGTGAACAACACAAAAAAAATAAAAATAATATCCCCAACAATTATACCTCACTTTTTAGTGTGGATTCCAGTTGCAATTTTCTTTCCTTTTTATTTTTCTGTTGTTCCAAACAAGTGAAGTTCAATGTTTCCATCATGTTTCCCTCCCTTCAGTTTCTTTCCTCTATCTATCTTTTGAAAGAAACACAGTGTAAGTGTAGTTAAGAGGTGATGAATAATTAAAATAGTTTTATTTATGTTACCAAGAGAAAATGATTGATTTAGAATAACAGTGAGAAAAAGTTATGAAAGTTACCAACAGCCAATCCGCGGGGCAGTAAAAGCATGCATGATTTTGTTAACTGCAGTGAAGCATGGTCCTCGTTCTTACTGTAAAACCCCCATTTGTTGTTTTCCGCATTGCCACATCTGGGTTTTACCAATCACAATGATTTCCTCAAATTCTCAGGTCTCTCTTTCTCTAACAACACACTATTATCTTCTCCACTCTCACCAATTACACTTTCTCTTTTTTTTTTGTATTCTTTTGTACTTTTTCCTGCATGCCCAATTTGTTATCAGTGACTTGTTCGTATTCCTAATTTTGCTTAATTCAACAGGTTTTGGAAGAAGAAACTCTGGGTAAATGGAATGTTTGATTCTTTTGGAACCCTAATTTTCCTCCATTTATTGACCTTCATATCCCAAATTTGAAGTTCAAAATGATTACTTGTGTGTCAACAAGTTTTGTACATTCTAATGCTAGAAATTCAGTAGAGTTGATGAATGTTAGAGGAAGGACATTTCCTAGGAGAGTTAATTTCATGCAAAATTTTGACAGGAGAAATGGATTTTTAGGGGGTGTTAGTAAGTTAGCTTTAGTTCAAGTCAAGTGTTCAAATCATAGCCAAGACCCTTTTCTACATCTCCATCCTGAGATTTCGATGCTTAGAGGTGAGGCGGGTGAGGCGAGCAAGACGGTCAATATTCCAAGAAAGGGTAGTTTAGGTGAGGATTTATCTGAGAGGTTAGAAGATACGTCTAGTCGAAGTAATTACAATCAGGCAAAGATTAAGGTTATTGGTGTGGGAGGTGGTGGATCTAACGCGGTCAATCGCATGATAGAGAGCTCGATGCAGGGAGTTGAGTTTTGGATTGTTAATACGGATGTACAAGCCATGAGAATGTCACCTGTGTTTCCTGAGAACCGTCTCCAAATTGGTTTGGAGCTTACGCGAGGTCTTGGAGCTGGTGGTAACCCTGAGACGGGAATGAATGCCGCGAAAGAAAGCAAAGAGTCAATTGAAGAGGCGGTTTATGGAGCTGATATGGTCTTTGTTACGGTATATTCAGCTACTTTTCTCCAGTAATAGTTTCTGCAAATTGAATTAGAGTTTTGTGTTGTGAATTTTCCTAGTATAGATCTATATGTTACAACATGATCATACATGATTTACAAGTATCAGTACATATGAGTAAGGAATCAACTTGCCAAAACATTGACGTATTTTATAGCTCAAAGTGTGGCATAATGATTTCAAATACTGTCTATGTCGCTATAGAATAACAATTTTTTTTAACAAACCCTTTTTAGAGTTTGGAACAGACGTCGTTGTGGTTCTTTTTTAAATCGTTCTTTATTGGTACATTTTTCTAAACCTGAAAATTAAAATGAATTTTTGCAGGCTGGAATGGGCGGTGGAACTGGCACAGGTGGTGCTCCAATTATTGCTGGTGTTGCAAAGTCAATGGGTATACTGACTGTTGGGATTGTGACCACCCCTTTTTCATTTGAAGGACGAAAGAGAGCCATTCAAGCACAAGAAGGAATTACTGCTTTAAGAGATAGTGTCGATACTCTAATAGTTATTCCAAACGACAAGCTATTAACCGCAGTTTCTCAAGCTACTCCTGTAACTGAGGCATTCAATCTTGCTGATGATATTCTTCGACAAGGCGTTCGCGGCATATCTGATATTGTTACAGTATGAAATTGCTAATGATCTTTGAACATTAATACACGCCTTTCTTTTGTTCATGCATTCTCTTTCTATAAAAAGTAAAATCAATAATGCTCATTGATTATTACTAATTGAGTGCAGGTACCAGGGTTGGTAAATGTAGATTTTGCTGATGTTCGAGCTATAATGGCTAATGCTGGTTCTTCATTGATGGGGATAGGAACTGCAACTGGTATGTATGGTAATTCAAAATGATTTAATGCTGTTTAGACCATAGTCACATACAAACCGCGAATTGGTTCGCACATACCAATTCTCGGTACTTTTGCAAATTGGTTCGTACAAATTCGTGTAAAATGAAGTACCCACAAACCAAATATAAATTTCAAATTTAAATGACATAATATTTATCAAATAAACTAAAATTTTTAACTAATTTTTTAATTATGATGAGGTTAGTATCACTTTGATAAAAGTGAATATTAATGACCATACTAATTTAATATTAATGCTTTGGTGAACTGATATTAGAGTTGTAAGTATACACTAGGTATTTATAACTGATTTTTCAAAGCAATATTAGTAATGTAGTCGATGTGGGACTACAAAGTTTTTCTCCCAACCATTTTTCATTCTAAGTAAACCATTTCTTTAATAACAACGTACCAATTATTATATTTGAATGTACCACGAGCCCAAATAGCGTACTGACTATGTATACCCCTCATGTACCTAATTCTTTGAGAGTTGCGAACCGTGTACCCGAATTCATACCACGTACCGAAGCGAATTGCGAACCGTGTGACTATGGTTTAGACTTCAGCTTTTACCAATTTTACACTGCGAGTAGATTCAGTGGTAAGGAGAGTAGATCAGATGAAGAGAAGTCAAACAACTAGATGTAGAGGAAGACTTAGAAAAACTATAAGAAAAGTTATTAAGAAAGATCTCGAGATTGTCAATTTGGATAGAAGCATGGTCTTGGATAAAATATCATGGCGAAAGTTGATCCATGTAACCAACTCTACTTAGTGGAATAAGACTTGGTTGATGTTGTTGTTGTTGTATAAGACTCCTTTTTGCCATTGTTAGTTGAAGAGGATTACAGCGCAATATAATTTATTTAACTTCATTTTACTGAAATCATCGAATGTATTTTTTTTTTTTGTGTGTTAAAGGGAAAACAAGGGCAAGAGATGCCGCATTAAACGCTATCCAGTCACCTTTACTAGATATTGGCATTGAAAGGGCTACTGGGATTGTTTGGAACATAACTGGTGGGACTGATCTTACCTTGTTTGAGGTGGGAGTGTTCTTATACTTTAAACTTTGTTAAGTATATGTTTCAGCTGTGGCCATGATGTTATTTTTTTTACCTATTCAGTGAGATATGGTATCAATTTGATGATCAAAAAGTGATGCTAATAATATTGATTCCTTATTGAAAAGACTATATTTCCATAGTTTTTCTTTTCTGTTAAGCGTTTTGGAAACTTCGACTTTTAATTGAGCTAATACTTGTTTGAGGTGTTGTGGTTCATGATCTACTGTCTATTGAATTCATCATGCTCTTGCTGACATGCTATGAATGGTACCACTTTTTTATTGTATGGCTTTTAATATAATCATTTACAGGTAAATGCTGCTGCAGAGGTTATCTACGACCTCGTGGACCCTAGTGCTAATTTAATTTTTGGAGCAGTAATAGATCCATTACTCGCTGGTCAAGTAAGTTAAACTACTTTTTTATGACAATGTAGTATTTAGCACTAATCATAAGAAGGCATGCATGACATGCCGCCATTTCACCATATATGAATTGTGCAACTTACAGCCAGTGATGGATCTAGGACCTTGTCTCAAGGGTGTAAAAAAAACAAATTCCGAGGCTTCTTGAGCTAGTGGTGCAAAAAAATAAAATCTAGGGGGCTCAAGAGCTTATCGCATTAGTGTTGAAGTATAAGCTATTTCCATCACAAGATAAAATAAAGTCAAGCTATTTTTGTATATGGTATAATCTCTTTTGTTAAGTTATCTTAGAGAACTTATAAAAGTAATAACAACAACCAAGTCTTATCCCATTACATGGGATCGGTTACGTGTATCAACTTTCGTCATAATATTCTATTAAGGATCATGCTTCTATCCAAATCGTTAATCTCGAGATCTTTCTTAATGACTTCTCTTATAGTTGTTTGACTTCTCTCCATCTAATCTACTCTTCTTATCACATAACCTACAAGCCTTCTTTTGTCATAAGTTTTTTCTGTTAACTCTTCCTAAGAGTCTCACAAGTACTCATGCTAGTAGATAAACTCAAATAAGTCAATTCAAACATACTCTAAGTCTTGTACTGTGATCTTGTAAATTTTTGGTTGCTGCTATTTAGGGTTGAACACTTTTCAGACTTCCATTTGTGAAAATGTTTTTTGAACATATAATATGATCAGCATGGTGAGCTATGTCATTTCGTTTCATATAGGTAAGCATAACATTAATAGCAACCGGATTCAAGCGTCAAGAGGAAGACGAAGCGAGACCCCTACAGGTAAATTTCAAATCTCCCCTCCCTCTCCCCTCCCTCTTCATATCACGCATTCTCATAATTCTACTTCATGTACTAAACACAGGCTAGTCAGCTCAGTCATGGAGATACAGCCATCGGTTTCAATCGACGAGCTTCCACTTTCTCCGACAATGGTAGTTTGTTTGACATCCCTGAGTTCTTGCAAAAGAAAGGACGATCACGCTATCCAAGGGTTTAATACTTTTCTTCCCAATGCCACACATTTCTTCACCAATGCATCAATTTTTACTTGGGTCATAAATAAGTTTTTCTCCTGTTTAGGTGTTGCATCCCTGTTTTTCTCCTTTTTAGATTTTATAACTCCAGAGTTGTTCATCAGTTTCGGTTTGTTTATCTAGACTTGTGCTGATTACTTGAATAATTGCAGCTTCTATGGATTCTTTGTTGATATATTTGAATAAGTTAATTAGCTTGTATTCTTGTATAGAGACCATTTGTTGCATTAAGTGGTTTTATCAACCGATGCAATAAAAGATTAAAAGAGGAGCATATTTATTTTTGGTCAAGAAAATATCGTAGGTTGCTAAATCATTTTTTTCTTAAAAGTACTGTGTGGTTTCTGTTTTTGGTCAGGATAGTGTGGAATAGAGACATTTGATGTTATCCAAAAATATTAAAGCTCATTTGGTATACATGATAGGATAGGGAAGTCAACAGGCCTACTACAAACTTTAAACTTTATGGTGGACACTAGATTATTAAAGGGGTATTACTTTTCTCACTCCATGAAAGAGGGTGAGAAATTGAAAGACCGAATTTGCTCTTTCATATTTTGGAGATACTACAGTTTCAAACACTTGAAATATACACATCTCAGCATTCGTGAGTAAGTCATTCATTATGCTCAAATTTAATTCGGATATTTATTTCTGGAATATTTTGGATATATACTTCTGTAATAGCTTCTTTAAATTTCTTCTGTTAAAATAGACTATCCGGCCTTAAACGGATCGATTCTGATAAGTATGGGTTAAAAAAAACCCTATTATGACATGAGTCTCAAAATTACTATCCGAGCCCAGTCTTAGATGGATTTTGGGCTACTCAATCCTAAACAGATTTTTTTTAATAAAAAATTAAAATAAAAAATCTATAATATTTATTATAAATA